AAATTGTGTCCATCATATGTTTAGAGAGAAATCAGAGTGCTTGCAACTTTGATCACTAGCGTATTTGGCTCTGCTTGTGATTATTTTTCCCCTTCTACATGATCAAGTCTTAAAATATTTAACTGGGTGTTCTTTAGTGTCTCTTTCCAGCACCTAGACAGTGACTCTCTGAAGTGCTATAGAGATACATAAAAGCCTAATCATATGGATTTCTTCTGATCTTCCATAAAAAAAAAATACACAGCATGTGGTTATTGTACAATGCAAGTCAAAAAATTAATCCAACTCTTGTGTTCCAAGACCAATTGAACAGTCAACTCATATGTGGCAACTGATGATAGAATTGTGCAGAAGCGAATGGCTCAGTGACCATCTCCTTAAAGAATCATGCAGTGTTTTAATAATCAGTCTTCTGAAGTATCCACTAATTTATTACTGCAACATACACAGACTTTGGAGTTAGCATCTTCATTTGTTATATTCAATTATGCAGCTCACTGAAATTCTGGGAAACACATTCATCCATGCTGCCATGATCAGGTTGCCAAATATGATGGATGACACTTTATAAAATTCAGCAGTGTAGTAGTAGGTTATATGAACAGCATTCACCGTTAGTTGCTGTTCATTAGTTTGTACATGTAAGCTACTTTGCCCACATAACTGCTAACATTTTATCTTAATCATGGAATTTATTGCATTGGAGATGTTCATGCAGTCACGCAGAGATGGACTGTTCTTTCTCCACTTAGAGGCTGCAAAAATAAAAAAAGCAGCCAGCATACCACAAGCAAACTGTCAGCTCACTCATAAAAGATCAAGAGCAAATTTTGTTCCTCAGCAACTCTTTGAAGTGATGCCTCTTGGACTGGCTGGAATTCCATGTAATAGGAGTTGTGTAACTAAGCAGAACCGGGAAAAATCCATCTTTTGTGACACTTGCCTAAAAAGATAGTTGGATCTTCCAAAATTCTGAAGAGAAAGTAGTTTGTGAAACACAGAATAAAGAATATCTAGACCACTGGAAAGAGAGCTATGAGCTATAATCTATTTTATAGCTTTCAGAGTTTGAGAAGTAGACTCAATATTCAGGATTTTATTCTGTTGTTGCACGCTAGAAAGGTTCTTTGTACTTCAGCTGAAAAGATTTGTTCACACTGTCTAATAATTAGGGCTGAAAAGTGATTAGAAAAATTAATCGCGATTAATCACACTGTTAAACAACAATAGAATACCATTTAAATATTTTTGGATGTTTTCTACCTTTTCAAATATATTGACTTCAATTATAACACAGAATAGAAAGTGTACAATGCTCACTTAATATTTATTTTTGATTACAAGTATTTGCACTGTAAAAAAACAAAATAAATAGTATTTTGCAATTCATCTAATATAAGTACTATAGTGCAATCTCTTTATTATGAAAGTTGAACTTACAAATGTAGAATTATGTACAAAATAAACTGCATTCAAAAATAAAATGTAAAATTTTAGATCCTGCAAGTCCACTCAGTCCTACTTCTTTTTCAGCCAATTGCTCAGAAAAACAAAATTGTTTACATTTGCAGGAGATAATGCTGCCCGGTTGTTTACAATGTCACCTGAAAGTGAGAACAGACATTCTCATGGCACTGTTGTAGCCAGCATCGCAAGATATTTATGTGCCAGATGTGCTAAAGATTCATATGTCCCTTCACACTTCAACCACCATTCCAGGGCAAATGCATACATGCTGATGACGGGTTCTACTCTATAACAATCCAAAGCAGTGTGGACCGACGCATGTTCTTTTTCATTATCTGAATGTGATGCCACCAGCAGAAGGTTGATTTTCTTTTTTGGTGGTTCGGGTTCAGTAGTTTCCACATCAGAGTGTGTTGCTATTTTAACATTTCTGAAAGCATGCTCCACGCCCCGTCCCAAGCAGATTTTGGAAGACACTTGAGATTCTTAAATCTTTGGTCGAGTAGCTGTAGCTATCTTTAAACATCTCATATTGGTACTTTCTTTGCGTTTTGTCAAATCTGCAGTGAAAGTGTTCTTAAAATGAACCACATGTGCTGGGTCATCATTCAAGACTACTATAACATGAAATATATGGCAGAATGAGGGTAAAACAGCAGGGGATGTACAATTCTCCCCCAAGGAGTTCAATCACAAATTTAATTAATGCATTATTTTTAACGAATGTCATCAGCATGGAAGCATGTCCTCTGGAATAGTGGCCGAAGCACAAAAGGACAAACGAATGTTTAGCATATCTGGCACATAAATACCTTGCAATACCCAGCTACAAAAGTAGGAGCATTGCCAGCAAATCAAGGGAAGTGACTATTCCCCTCTATTCGGCACTGGTGAGGCCACATCTGGAGTATTGCATCCAGTTTTGGGCCCCTCACTACAGAAAGGATGTGGGCAAATTGGAGAGAGTCCAGTGGAGGGCAACAAAAATGATTAGGGGGCTGGGGCACATGACTTATGAGGAGCAGCTGAGGGAACTGGGCTTATTTAGTCTGCAGAAGAGAACGAGGGAGGATTTGATAGCAGCCTTCAACTACCTGAAAAGGGGTTCCAAAGAAGATGGAGCTCGGCTGTTCTCAGTGGTGGCAGATGACAGAACAAGGAGCAATGGTCTCAACTTGCAGTGGGGGAGGTCTAAGTTGGATATTAGGAAAAACTATTTCACTAGAAGGATGGTGAAGCACTGGAATGGGTTACCTAGAAAGGTGGTGGAATCTCCATCCTTAGAGGTTTTAAAGGGCCAGCTTGACTAACCCCTGGCTGGGATGATTTAGTTGGGGTTGGTCTTGCTTTGAGCAAGGGATTGGATTACATGACCTCCTGAGGTCTCTTCCAACCTTAATCTTCTATGATTCTAAGAAGAGGACAGCATTATCTCCTGTAAATGTAAACAAACTTGTTTGTCTTAGCGAATGGCTGAACAAGAAGGAGGACTGAGTGAACTTGAAGTTTTACATTGTTTTGTTTTTGTACACTTTTTTTATTTCAATTACAACACAGAATACAATATATATGAAAATATAGAAAAGCATCCAAAATATTTAATAAATTTCAATTGGTATTCTATTGTTTAACAATGCGATTAAAACTGCGATTGATCGCGATTACTTTTTTATCACGATTAATTTTTTTTAGTTAATCGCGTGAGTTAACTGCGATTAATTGATAGCCCTACTTATAATTAAAATCAACACTACAATAGCAAAATAAGTTAACGAATTGACTTAATTTACATACAGATTTTCACAATACATTCTGGCTAAATCAGAATACTCACTGTCTTAGGAAAGGTGATATTCTTGCTACATAAAGACAAGAGGGATGGGGTTACTTCATTAAAGGGACAGTCAACATGAAAAACTACAGTTTTAATCTACTGAAGTTACAAAATGACTATAAATAGAAGAGAGGAGAATACATTTCTCTATTCTGTTTATTTTGTTGACTTGCTATATTCAATATCAATTTCCTATGATGGTGTTTCACACAGCAACAGAGAGAGACTATTTTTTTAAATGAAGATTTGGTTCTAAAGATTACAAAAACTGGGAAGGTTCTCAGGCAGGTGAAGCAAGTAAATTATTAGTAAAATGTAAAAAAAAAATAATAATAATATGTTTAAGGTTGGCATTCTATTCAGAAAAACTCTTTTACAGAGCAATATACCTAGGTATTAAGCCATCAGCCCTTAGGAAACTGCAGTTAGTCCAGAATCCTGAAGCTCTTCCCCTCAGGAACACAGACTACCACAGACACATTACCCATGTCCTCCACTCGGAACACTGGCTTCCCATAGAATATCAAGTCAAGTTCAAGGTCTTGGTCATTATCTTTAAAGCACTCGATTACTTGGGTCCAACATATTCAATCTTTTAGATAAACACCAGGAAGAAAATTGTGATAGACTACTCTGCTCATCAAGCAAAATGGAATTTTTAAGTAGTGTTCTGAGGATAATTTATAAGCTAAATTCAGTTATGTATAAGGCTAATTGCGGACGTATCCACTAACAATCATCCTCACACCTAAACCAAAATCTAATAAAGAATTATTAAGTTTAGCAAACCATGTTAGAGTTATAATTCATTATTACAAAGTTTATTAATATGCCATTTTGAAACAGAATGTAAATGAAGTAATGTCTATCACCTATGCCACCTCTTCTCCACAATGCAATACAACTATTCAACTTAACATGATCTCATGACTGTCATAAGAAACAAATTAGCTTTATATTTATACAGCACCTTCCTAAAATAATCCAAAAGCGCTGAAAAATATGCATAATATCATTCACCCTGAAATGCGTGCCACCCCAGAGGTGACTACATCAGCACTACTACTACACAAGAGCTTTAAAGGAGAGGGAGTTAAGAGTAACTTTGACTGAAGTTGTAGAGGTTTTGTTTTGTTTCATCTACTATCAAGCAAAGTAGAAAGTAACTACTCAATGTGAAATTTCACCAGAAAAATAAGGGTGAAATATGGACCATCTAATGTGTTATGGGCTCTGTAATGAACAGAAGTGATCAGAGCATCATTTATCTCATCCAAGAAGCCATCAGTGGGTTGCGCCTAATAACGATAGGAAGAAGTCAGAAATGGATAGGCCCAAAGATAGAATCTATCCTGCATTTGCAGGGAATTCTCCACTTTTAGTATTATCAGATATTAGAGACTGTGGCTGGTAAAACAAATTTGATGCTATTACTGCTGACGTATAATAAATACATATTCAATTTGAATATTGGAAGGCAACTAAACCTCTTTAATACATTAAGGGCAAGCAAGACAATGAAAAAGTCAAAGGCAAATTGCAGACTAAATTTTACTTTTGCACAGATAGGTCTATTTAAAGCACTGAAAGAGTATTCTCTGTAAGTTACAAGTTGAAATGTATAGCTTTATATAGAATTGGGATATATGGCAATAACATGTTCACTTGGTTTAATTCCTGAATTAAAAATAAGAAGTACCTCTAGTTCAATTAGTGCCGCAGTCACTGCATCAGTTGCAAGAGCACCAGCCTGAAGTTTTTCAATTGCCTGTGAAACAGAATTTTTAGTTGATGAGTTTGGATTTAATAATTGTATGGCTAGTTCTAATGATTTTCTTGGCACTGAGTGAGACAGAATCCCCACCACAAGAAAATTCCAATCTAAGGCTTTGTCTACACTATACAGCTTCTAGCGACACAGCCATTTTGTTAAAAGTCAGGCAGTGTAGCCGCTGTTTGTTGGCACTTTTGCTGACAAAATACTTCCACCCACAATGAGCGGTGTTCACATTGTCAACGGGAGAGTGCTGCTGCAGACAACACGCTGTTCACACTGACGCTTGCCACAGCAAAACTTTTGTCTTTCGGGGGGGGAAGGGGTTGTTAGCACCTCTGAATGACAAAAGTTTTGTTGCTCAGTGTAGACATAGCCTAAGAGGACAAATAAGACAAAAGGCACTGTGAGAGAAGAAAGTCTTTACAAGATTTGAATACATGATATTATTGTTCTGGCATCATGAAACCACACTGCACTTGGCAAAAAAAATTTACGGTTGAATTTTATAGTAACATATGTCTCCCGCACACTTGAACTAATGATAGGGCTCTGACACCAAAAAAACCAACCCTAAATTATATTGTGTCATATTGAGTTGCTGCCATTAAAATGATTAGTTGTACAATTGAGTAAGTTTGTCCAGATGTTAGCAACACACACATTTGAAAGGATTAGATTTTTAATCATTAAATGTCAGTAAACATTGATTTCACCATATATACACCAACTGACGAAAATATATTTCCATCAAAGAGAATTGAAATTTACAGATAAGCACAGTAAGAAAAATGTTGCTTGAGAATGTCTTAGAGTTGATTTAAGGATATTTATTTTGTATATTTTGACATGTGATGTTGACAATTTACAAAGCTTTAATTTTTTTCATTCTCTCCATCTACTGTCATTAAATAATTATCTGACCCACTCCGTTTTCCTGAAATTGTGAAAATTTTAATCTATTAAAAATATTAAAATGCTTAAAAATAATCACTTTTGAAATTATAAAAAATAAAACTCAAACTCTGCCAAGCCTAGCAACATAAATGCAAAATAAACAAGGGATGATCTTTGTTCAAGTTTGGCACTAAAAAGATAAACTTTTGGAGACATGTAGTAATTTCCCAGATCCACGCTGTACAAAAACGTAGAACTTCTACTCACAGCAAATTCCCTCAGTGAACTCACAAGAACTAATGAGGGCTGCATTCTTAGGACATGTCTACACTTACCATAGATCGACGCTGCGGCGATCGATCTAGTGAAGACCCGCTAAATCAACCGCCGATCCTCTCCCGTCAACTCCGGTACTTGACCGGAACGAGAAGTATAAGGTACGTCAACGGGAGAGTTTCTCCCATTGACCCAGCGCCATGTAGACACCAAATAAGTCAACCTAAGCTACATAACTTAGGTCGACTTAACCCCATTGTGTAGACCTGTCCTTAGTTGCGGCATAAATCTTATGCTGTTTGTTCTTACTCAAACATTATGTTGGCTACCTAGCTCAAGGAACCAAATGGAATCTCAAGTTACCATTAGCAATATCCTCAACAGCAAGCAAATTCATCACAAAAAATATCACAAGTAAATGGAAAAGTAGTATCACAAAACAGAGATACCAGGTAGGACTGAAGTTCAGCGTTAAACTACTCAAACTGTACTGATACTGCATGCTTTGAAACTCTGTTAGTTACAAAGTGAGATTGGTATTTGGAGATGAGGGGTGGGATTTTCAAATAAGCCTATGAGACTTAGACACCCAACTCCTTCAGACTCCCCTGAAAAAGTCAGCCATATAAATCTTCCATCAAAGCATTGAGGGTTACTTTTTAATGGAGATGTTACCATGCAATCAGGGAGAAGTGATTTTATATCTGCAAGTATTCAGATATTTTGCAAGTTACTTCCAATTTCAACAGTCTTTTTATAAAAGAATCCAATAATCTCTACACCAGCAATAATCTATAAGACATTTAATATATAGGCCAAAGGTAAATGTAGTTTTCTATATATCCAGCTACCTAGACCTCAAGATTCCCATTTGAATGGTTATATTAAAATCAAATCTAAGTCAAACTGTAAACACAGAGCATTTCATTAAACAAGCATTAAGTTACACTAGGGAAAAAACATTAATCCAATTAGCACCTAAACTTAACAGGAAGAATTAATCAACTCTTCTCATATTCTATTCCAAATTCTGCCACAGACATGCTGTAGTATCTTGGCCAAATGACAGTTTCTGATATCCTTATGGAGAAAAGCAATAAAATCACTACAAAATCACCATTTAAATATCCAGGTCAGCCAGATGTCCATAGAGGGATGGATCTTCCATAAATAAGCTGTTGTCTCAGGCCACACATATTAGGTGTATATAGTCCTCACCAGTGACTGCCAGACAGCCTTCAATTAGCATGGAAACATGATTTGGAATCATGATATGAAATGAAAAAACACAATTTGTATGTGTACCTGGAGCAAGCCTTGGAACCAAAATTGTTGCATGCGCAGAGAATCACCACTCTTTTCTTTTAATAATCCACATGTATTGCAGCCCTCTGAAGGAGAGGGAATGTGTACGTAGTTTCTGTGCAAGTGAAAGAGGTATAGTACAAACCATAATCCTTTGGGGGATTATGAAATAATATTTATTGATCTGTTACTCAAATCACACTTCTCAAAGTTTTTACCATTCTTCCCTTATGGAGTGCACAGTGGTTCCTGTTTTTTTATTGCTGTTTCTTTTTTGTCCACAGAAATGTCAACCCTTCAGTACATAATTGTATCCAGGGGATAGTGTTAATGAATCCCAAAATAAACACTTCATGCAAACACACTTTATGCACTGCTGCATAATATCCAAAACTCTCACAAAACAGATCAAAACTTTAGAGACTAGACCCTAAAACCTTTTATAAATTGAACTCTAGTGAACTCAAATTTTTTAGAAGCCTGTTGATCCTCTAAAGAAAAAAAAGTTTGGAACTGGGGAAGTCATACCTTTTGACAGGCTCTTTTGCAAACATGTTTGTATTCTTTAGCTTTGGATTCAGAATGATAACCTGCACCTATTATTAAAGACAGAAAAACAAAGTTAAGTAGAGTTTACAGTAAGCATTCAAACTAATATATTGGGATAGTGTTTTCACCAGGAATTACAATACAGGCTGACAACCGCATCTTAACTCAGATGTACATAACTATGTCATTTTATAAAACAGAGACTACTGATCTACTTCCATCACAGATTAACACTTTCAAGCATTTCAAAATTAATCCAGTATTGCCACTGACAGTCATCTACACTATTGATATAAGTGGAGAGGTACAAGTCCCCATATTTTACATAGATATTCTGACTCTCAAAATATTCACTGGGAGATTCTAGTTTTGCCTATTCCTGGAGAGTTTCAGACATGACAGTTGTCACTATATTAAGCCACCAAAAAAAATATTGCTATGGTTTTAAGAGTCATGCTCCACTTTTTCTTTTGTAAGTTCGATCACATGAGTTGGCCCTCCTTCCACTTTGATACCTGCACTAGCTTTTTTTTAAAACTACTGCTTCTGCTCTGTGACTGCCAGACACAGTTTCTTGAGAAAGATTACATGAAATATGTCTCTACTACTGTCATTTTCAATCTCTGTTTTGTTCCTGTTCCTTGCCTCCCCAAACTGACTCCAAGCACCTCTCTGCCCATACCCTAACCTTTTGCCACTCCTTTCTGCCGCCACAGGTCTAGAAAACCACTACAAGTACTATCAGCAACGGACCCCATAGGCTTATAGTAATTTAACATTTAATACTAGCAAACTGCCTTTTTTTTTTCTTTTGTTACTTGTGATATTCATCCCAGCTCCCTCTTCCTCATCTTCAGTGCTGTCTGTGCTTAAGCTTCTTTTAAACAATCAGTTTAGTTTATCAGAAATGAAACTAACACCAATAGTGGAGGAAATATACCATAAGCAGCAGCATATTAAACATGTCCATTTATTCTTAAAACAGTACAAGCAGGGTCTTTAAACACTAAGGCTAGGTCTACACTACCCGCCTGAATCGGCGGGTAGAAATCGACCTCTCGGGGATCGAATTATCGCGTCTCATTGGGATGCGACAATCGATCCCCAAATCGACGCTCTTACTCCACCAGCGGAGGTGGGAGTAAGCGCCGTCGACGGGAAGCCGCGGAGGTCGATTTTGCCACCGTCCTTACAGCGGGGTAAGTCGGCTGCGATACGTCGAATTCAGCTACGCTATTTGCGTATCTTAAATCGACCTCCGCCCCCCCCATTCCCCCCCCGTAGTAAAGACCTGCCCTGACTCAGAGCAAGGTGTCCTGCATATATTTGCTCACCTTAAAGGTCTTATTCGTTTAAAAAAAAAAAAAAACATTGCTATTTTTAGCTCCTCGAGCGTTTTAAGTATCACCAGGCTGCTTTAATCAGCTGCAGTTGTAAGACTGCAGGCTCTTTGGGGCAAGATAAGTCTTTGTTCCATGTTTCTATGGTGCCTATTATAATGGGGTCCTGGTTCCTAACTGGGGCTACTAGGAGCTATGGTAATACAATTAATTCACTTCACACTATGGTCCAGAAACAAATGCTAAAGATGAACCTGCCACTATATTTAACAAGATTCCTTGTAGTATCAAGGAACTAAATGTACAGTATTATTTTCTCTAGAACATTAACTATATTAGAAGTTTTTTGAACCTTAATTTCCCAATGGGTGCAGCATCATTGGAGGTGGAAGGGACACCTGGTATAACTGCAAACGTAGGTAATTTACAAGTCTGAAAAATCTTGGTGTACATAAAATCTAGTGTTTCCTCAGGCCTAACACCCTAAAGTGCTCTTTTTCCCTTCACACATCTCCAACTCACTTCCTTTCTTTTATTAAATCGGACCCACAAATTCAGGAAAATGTATCCCTTATCCCCACAACACAAGAATAAAGCATTAACCAAAACAATCAGTCAGGATGTCAAACCGTGCTAAAAAAGTTTTCACCTAGACAGCATGATGGGATCACCATTTAGCCTATTTTTTCACAACACTTGTGCTTGAGAGAGCATACCACCATGTGATCAGGTAGCAAAACAGTTAAGGCATTTATGCTGTGACCCAAAGAGTCATCCCATTATCCAACATATTCTATCATCTCTTGTAGCCACAAAGCATTGTGGGATTAGGGTCACAGAAGAAACAGTAAGAAGTTTCTGGGTGCTGTAAGGGCAGTTGGCTGAAGGGACTGGTGCTATTGTGGAGGACACCACGCGTGAACTGCACAGTGCTCAGTTCTGAGGCAGCACAGCTGCAAGAGTCTGTGAAGCTGAATACACAGCCCCTTCAAGCATTGCCTTTCCAGCCTGGATCAGAGTACTGTGCATGTGATGGGAAAAAGGAGCTGCTTTGTAACTGGGTGATGGGCAGGAAGATGCACAACAGGATTGAAAGCAGGAATCACAGCAGCAACAAGGTAAAGAGAGAGGAACAAGGAGCAAACTTCTCCCTTTCTCCACTGCCTGAATATCCATAGGGTTCTAACAGTCCCATAATTTAGCTGATCTCTCAGACAACATGATATGACCCATCTGATGCCCCTTTCCAATCCATCAATTGAGTAGTGCTGACAAAGCATGGTAGAAACTCTGTGTACAAGACAAGTCATGTAGCTCTTTCCCACAGCCCAATGCCAGCCCTACATGTATGGGTTGTTAAATTGCAGTTATCTCACCTCATAGCATGGATAAGTGCCAATAAACCGACCTGAACTCCTCTGCATGCTGGATGACAGAAGAATGGGAAATGCTCCTTCCACCTTTGACTATCCCAAACCCACCTTAACTTAAATTCAGCAAACATGTAGGAAAGAAGGAAACTGCACTGAGCCAGAAGTACTGATATGTTCCACATTTGCACATTTTTAAGAGTAACTAAATAGCTTTTGTTCAAGCTTAGCAAAAAGGCACTAAAGTAGGGTTACCATATTTTAAAATAACAAAAAGAGGAGACTCCCAACTCCGCCCCTTCCCCGCCCTCACCCCAACTCCGCCCCTTTCCCAAAGTACCCGCCCCCTCCCCTGAACGCTCCGCCCCCCACTCCTCCCTCTCCCCTGCTTCCCGTGAATCAAATGTTCACGGGAAGCCTGAAACAAGCAGGCAGCAGGTAAGCGGGGGGGGGCGGGAGGGCACAAGGTGGCGCAGCCCAGTCCGGCCCCCCAGCCAAGCGGCTCCGGTGGCTCTGGCCCGGCTCAGGCCCTGGGGCGCCAGCCCCAGCCCGCCCCAGCGGCTCCAGCTCGGCTCGGGCCCCGGCCCTGATTCCGTCCGAGCGCACTGGCCCCAGCTGAGCGGTTCCAGCTCGGCTCGGGCCCCGGGCACCGGCCGAGTGGCTCCGACCCCAGCAGCTCTGGCCCTGGTTCCGGCCGAGCGCGCTGGCCCCGGGTGAGCGGCTCCGTCCTGCCCTGGCCTCAGCCGCCCCAGCTCGGCTCCAGCTCCGGCCCCGGGGCACCGGCCGAGCGACTCCAGCCCAGGGGACTCCAGCTCGGATCGGGCCCCGGGGCACCGGCCCATCTGGCATGGGCCCCAGTACCAGCCTCGGCCCCGGGCGAGCACCGCCGGCCCCAGCGGCTCCGGCCCCGGCCCCAGTGGCTCCAGCCCAGATCCAAGCCCCACGACCCCTCCCTATTTTCCCGGACATGTCCAGCTTTTTGGAATTTCCCCCCGGGGGATTTGAGGACCAAAAAGCTGGACATGTCCGGGAAAACCCGGATGTATGGTAACCCTACACTAAAGAGTTCTCTCTTGTACCAAAAACAAACATGGGAAGTCAGGCCAAAAAGGAATTTAAATTTTAAGCACCCAGTAAAAAGGAAGGGTTATAATTGAAGCTCTCTTCTTCAATTACAGTGCTCATAGCTTTCCATATAGGGAGATGGGCCATGTTTTAATTCCGCTCCATCATTACCCCTCAGAGACTAGCTTGACACTCTAGTCCCCCACCCTAATCCTGAGAAAACAACTCAGCTTCATGCAGCCCGACCATCTGCAAAACCACCACTCAGGTATCCAAAATAGGTGGGTTACTGAGGTCTGAGATTCCCGAACTGATTTCAGGATCCACAAGATCTAGAGCTAGCCTGCCAGCTCCAAATTTTAAAAGGTAGTAGACACCCTGGCTTAGAACCTTCTTGAGGCATACATTAAAATCTGACACAGATGGCACACACTCTTCCTTTCACAGTTCTGTGCACATGAATCCTGGAGGACAATCCAGGCCATCATGTTAGCATTAGAACTCTCACTCACAGCAGAAACAGCCACAGAGGTTTACATAACTCACTTAGGATTTTATTACAAATTTTAAAAAACCGCCTCAGTTCTCAACTTCTGGAATCTTACCTGCATGTACAAGCACAAATCCCACTGGTTTTCCTTTTTGGATCGATTTTGTTTCATGCTCCTTCACCATCACCTTTACAGCTGTAACCTGGGATGATTTGGAAGGTAACACTTCTACTGAACTCATCCCCTTCTCCATGATGATACTCCAGGGTCACCATCTTCTACTGGAAAGAGAGCATGCTTTCATCCAAAAGTAAACTCTGGAGAGGACTCACCCTAAGGTAAAACCATATGTAAACGTTATGTAATTTTTTCCCCCCACTGAACACAGTTCAGGCAAATTTATGCAAAAAGCATTTTATGAAAAACAGCAGAAGATCCATGTTACATTAGGCTGTTTTTTCCACTTAAGCAGGGATTGAGTTTTGCATCTTCCATTTTACAGCTCATAACGTGAGTAAAAATGGACTTTTCCAGGTATTTACATAAATTTAAGATTAAAAATTAGTTAGAAGGAGGCTCTATGTTTACTTTGAGTCTCACAATTTTTCTAGCCCATCTAAGCTACAGAACATGCCTGACGATGCCTCAAAAGCACAGTGGATACCTGCTTTTCTTTCACCCAACGACCCAGACTTCACTAATACCACAGCCACCATACACCATAGCCTTAAGTCAGCCATGAAAGTGTTGTGGCACCCTTTCAGCAACTCCTTTCACAAACCTGGGTGTGGTTTCGCAGAACTGTATAGCAAAGGAGAGTCAGAAGAAGAGTCTGTTCTCTGTTGGTGGGAGTTTAGGGAAGAGGATATTGGAAGACTGGCATTCCGACTAAGGCAGAGATTTGGTTGAGATTCGTTGGCTGTGGTATGTGGCATCTCTAGAGGGAAGACTAAACGATATATTCTGTCAGCCTACCTACTGTTTCCTGGCTTTTTGAGGTTGCATCAGATATGTGATCTATACAGCATTCTTAACAGACACACAGATACCAAATTGTGTATCAAATAAATATACCTGTGTTTCTACTTAGGGTAGCATGCAATGAAAGGGCTCGCATACAGTTCAGTAGTAGTATATAGAAAGGTAAGAAAATACAATTTACTTGTAAACTGAAAGTTATGGTAAAAAGTGTAACTGTGGTACCAAAAAAGGATGAATGTACAGTACTGTTCTGTTAAGTGAGTGCTCCCAAGAACTAGTAATGTAAAGATGCCATAATAAAATTCTTCCATCTTTTATCCTCAGTTATATTCCATGAAAACTTTCTATTCCCAGGAGGCAAAGATACAAATAAGGTATTTAAAAAACCATGAGAGCAAGAGGAGCCACCACTGTTAGTCCCCATTGCGTACATATGGCTTACACTGGCACAGCAGCTATGCTGGAATAATCCCATAGTGTAGACCCAGTCTACAATGACTGAAGGGATTTTTCCGATGGGTGCAACAACACCACCTCCCCAAGCAATGGCAGCTAGATAGACAGAAGCATTCTTCCATTGACCTAGCTGTGTTTATGCTGGGTGTTAGGTCAGCATACCTACCTCACTCAGGGATGTGGATTTTTCACACCCCTGTGCAATGTAACTAGGTTGACCTCAATTTTAAGCGTAGACCAAGACTTGGTCATCAGCGTACAGCAGGATCTCTAGGTTCACGTAGTTTGGAAGAACGGAGTGTTGGTAACTTTTTGCAGTTTCAGAAGATGAATAAAGTTTTGATGCTTACAGAATGATTATGGAACATTTAAACTGGTTGTTTAGGCACCTAATGTATGAAGTACAAGCTCCCACTGACAGCAGGAAGTAGTTTTCAGGAGTCAGGCACAGAACATCAAAGCTAATCAACACTTATGGCTTTACATCTGCAAAGCACTGTACACATTAATCAAGATCAACATCTCTCAAACAATTTAATTTAAAACAGTGGGTAGTTCAAAAGGTGGGAGGGTATATTTAGTATATGCAACAAGGCTATTTCTGTACACATAAATTAGATGAACTTGTAGCTTTGGAACAAGAGTGGAAAGAATAACAACAGATCAATATGATGTATATATACAGCTCATATTAACATTGGGACTAATTGCAGCCTACATACTACTAAAGTGAATAAAGATGGCAGAATCAGGTGGAGGGGGGCTCAGCAGAGGGGTCTGGGTGCTGGGACAGCAGAGCTTGGTGGGATGGGGTCTCCAGGTGAAGCAGGTTAGGGCTCAGTGGGGTGGGGAACCAGGAGGCTTGTTGGGGGCAGACTGGGTGCAGTGGGTGGGGCTCATCAGGGTGGGGGGTTCGATGGGTCTGCTTAATGGCGGAGCCCCAGCTGCTGCTGCAGAGGGGATGCCGCATGGCCGGGCTCCTGCTTCCCTCCCCCATTCTCCTATCCCTTTCTCTTCCCCATCCCATCCCCCTTCCCCACCGTCTCTTCCCTATCCCACCCCCCTTCCTCTTCCCCTGCCCCTCATTCCCAACATCCCCCTCCCCACCCTATCCCACACCCCTTCCTTCCCCAGTGCCCCCGCAAACTACACCCATGGGCATCCCCAGCCCCACAGTGATTTACCTCTCTGCCAGCTTGTTCTGGGCGACAGAAATGAGGCGCCCGTGCTGCCTGGGAGAGGTGCTGGCAACTCTTCAACTTTCCTTTGCTTCCCCATCATTTTCTGTAGGGAAGCAAAGAAATCTGTGGGGGACATGAATTCTGCATCCATGCAGTGGTGCAGAATTCCCCCAGGAGTAATAATATTTATTTAAGCAATTCTATAGCTTAACACACATTTCATATTCTTAATTTTTACACTAGAGACTGGTGACATGCATTTCTTATTTACTAGATTAATTTTTCCTCATGATTTGTGTCAAGCTTTATTAAGATAAATTAGAGTTCAATTGAAAATGCACAAAAACCACAATTAATTCCTTTATTAGCTAAATAAAACTACCTTGGGTATGCTGGATATATAAGAAAAAAGTAAGTTTATCAAAACATGGTCTGCATTTAAAAACTAATTGATTTACTAAACAAAGCAAATATTACCTGTAACTAGTGGATTTAATTGATTGTTTCTGGTCACAACGACCTTCAGGATTTTTGAACTGGTGGATCTCATCGTCTGACACCTAGTTTTTATTCATATAGTGGAAGAGGAAAACAAGCTTTCCTGCTTTTTCAACTGCCACTGGTTTCTTTAACTTTGAATAAACTAGCCATTGAACTGACCTGGTTGAATAAACTGAAAAAATATATATATTCTCTCTGAACCTGTAGAAAAGGCTACTGCTTTCAAAAACTGGATTAGCACTTCAACATGCTCCCATTCCAGGTGCTTATCCAAAGACTTCCACCAATACAGAAGTTTTATTTATCTCTTTATCATGAAAGTACAACTTATAAATGTAGATTTTTTTTGTTACATAACTGCATTCAAAAACAAAACAATGTAAAACTTTAGAGCCTACAAGTCCACTCAGTCCTACTTCTTATTCAGCCAATCACTAAGACAAACACGTTTGTTTACATTTACAGGAGATAATGCTGCCGGCTTCTTATTTACAATGTCACCTGAAAGTGAGAACAGGTGTTTGAATGGCACTTTTGTAGCCGGTATTGCAAGCTATTTACGTGCCAGATATGCTAAACATTGATATGTCCCTTCATGCTTCGGCCACAATTCCAGAGGACATGCTTCCATGTGATGACGCTTGTTAAAAAAAATGCATTAATTAAATTTTGACTGAACTCCTTGGGGAAGAATATTATGTCTCCTGCTCTTTTACACCCGCATTCTGCCATGTATTTCATTACCCAGCACATGTTGTTCGTTTTAAGAACACTTTCACTGCAGATCTGACAAAACGCAAAGAAGGTACCAATGTAAGATTTCTAAAAGATAGCTACAGCACTTGCCCCAAGGTTTAAGAATCTGAAGTGTCTTCCAAAATCTGAGAGGGACAAGGTGTGGCACATGCTTTCAGAAGTCTTAAAAGAGCAACACTGTGATGCGGAAACTACAGAACCCGAACCACCAAAGAAGAAAATCAACCTTCTGCTGGTGGCATCTGACTCAGATGATGAATGTGAACATGTGTCGGTCTGCACTGCTTTGGATCATTATCGAGCAGAACCTGTCATCAGCATGGTAGTTGAAGATGAAGGGACATATGAATCCTTAGCACATCTGGCACATAATTATCCTGCGATGCCGGCTACAACAGTCCCATGCGAACGCCTGTTCTCACTTTCAGGTAACATTGTAAACAAGAAGCAGGTAGCATTATCTCCTGCAAATGTAAACACACTTGTCTGTCTTAGTGACTGGCTGAATAAGAAGTAGGACTGAGTGGACTTGTAGGCTCTAAAGTTTTACCTTGTTTTGTTTTTGAGTGCAGTTTTTTTTTTTTTACATAATTCTACATTTGTAAAGTTCAACTCTCATGATAAAGAGATTGCATAACAGTACTTGTATGAGGTGAATTGAAAAATACAATTTCTTTTGTTTTTTACAGCACAAATATTTATAATCAAAATAAATATAAAAGTGAGCACTGTACACTTTGTATTCTGTGTTGTAATTGAAATCAATATATTTGAAAATGTAGAAAAACATCCAAAATATTTAAATAAATGGTATTCTTTTATTGTTTAACAATGCGATTAAATCGCAATTAATTTTCTTAATCGCTTGATGGCCCTAATTTTTTTTTTAAAAAAAAAAAGATTTGTATACTTAATTTTGGCCTCTGTATATATTAACTCATTTCATCCCTAATTAACTTTAGGAAGTAAATACAATGACAGTTTTGTTTATCAGTACAATTGAATGGCACCATAGACAGACATAGGAATAGCCCCATTTATACCCAGGCTTGCAGTTTGCTTGCTCGGAACAGCCTTTGTGAGAAATACTCCCTATGTTATATGGCATAAGATGACATATTTCTTCTCCAGGGAAATGACAATTAGCAGGAGGGCTGCAGATGGGTTACCCCATAAATAAGTTTCTAACCGTTACCTATTCCTTTATATCCACCCTACCATAATATTAAGCATGGATGCAACTGAGCACTGGAGAGAGTACTGGTGACCCACTGAAGCATCAAAGGAAGAACATACATTTCTGTTGGAATCCCTCATAAATAGGGATATTTTTAAAAAATACTTGAACAAAGCAGTATTTTAAGAACAAGGTTACAGTAATTAAAACCTGAAGGACATTTTTCTCCAGGTTGTAAATAATATAGAGGTAGATAGATGTTAGGCCTAAACTATGTGACAACATGCATTTAAACACTGTAAATTTACAGTCCTGTAGATTTGAAAGGCTGTAGATTTTATACCAGCATTACAGTGCCCCAGTTTGCATGTCCTACGCTGTAAACAAGGCAGTGCAATCTCCATAAAAATCTTTCAATTTTTAACTTCACTTCCACATCAAATCTACAAATTGTCATACCTGTCATATCCCTGCTATTCCCCCCAAACGCCACCTCCAGCTCCACATGTACCCCCTTAAAGTTTTCCCATTCTAGCTGTTCTAGTTGCCCTCCCAAGTTCCTATCCCCATCCCCTTCTCCCTTCTAAATTCCTTCGTTCTCTTTTCCAGCTCTCCTCTAAGTATGAATTTCAATCTCCCCACCACCTCAGTGCACCACTCTAGCCATCTTTACAGCAGCAAGCACATTGGGGGCTGAACTCCAACTAATGTCCTGACGCACTCTACCCAGAGAGATCCTGCATAAAGGAGACTAACCATGGAGAGACAGCCAAGAGTGCTTCCCTCACTTGGGAGAAACTAGCAGTTGCTTGGGACCCCACAAGGGTGCACTCAAAAACAGGAGTCTCCGAGGTTGCATGGGAAACTTAAGAGGTCTGTTGTTAAGCTGCCACATTGCACTAGCCACCTTTTATGTCCTACTTCTGACTTGTTCATAACACTTGCCTGTAAGAACTTACAATCTAGTGATAAACACTCTAGTGATGGGAGCTATATAGATACCTAAGTACATTTGACAAATGAGCAACAAACATGGAAGGATGGGGTAAGGAAGAATAAACATTAAGTTATGTCCATATCGTGATGACGCAATTAAAGAATGTCTTCTTTATTAAGATATAACTCAGTTCCCGTATGCAACATTTACGAGTTAGTTTTTGCAGGCATTTTAACTAAAACAATGGTCATTTGGCAAAAAGGGAACAAGAGGCTGTTCCATGCATAGCCAGCAACAAGTAAGGAGACAAAAAAAGAAGATGGGAGAATTACAGAAGTTTCAAGACAGACATTGATAGATCAAAGGAAATGCAATATGAGAGAAGGTCTCAAGTTAAGACAGTGCAATTATGAAGGGCCTAGAACTCAATACATGAAGTCGGAATTTGGTATGCTGGGAAAAGAGAAACTAGTGAATGAATTTAAAAGACGGGGTAATATGGACTGAATGACAAGGAGATTTTTCAGTAACAGTATTTTGAACAGGCTCTATAAAGATAATAGAGGCATCAGGAAGACTGAGAAGAAGGTAGCAGTAATTGAAGCAGAATGTGATTAGGCATGAACAAGCAATAACCACAAAGATAGTCAAGAAAGAACTCTTATATTGAGAGTAATTAAGAGCAAAATTAGATCATGATTTAGATGCGATGAGAGATTATTTAATATTACTAAAGTCAATTATGCACTTTTTGAAAAACCTGTTCCCAAACCGGAGGCTAACAAAAGCAACAGGAAACTATTTATATGTG